AAGAAATAAAATTGAAAGGATTTACTGATGCTAATTATGCTGGTGATAGAGATAATAGGAAATCTACATCTTCCTATGTGTTTACTTTGTGTAATTCTTGTGTTAGTTGGAAATCTCAACTTCAACATGTTGTTGCTTTATCCACTACTGAATCAGAATATATTGCTGCTACTGAAGCCTTTAAAGAATCTTTGTGGTTTAAAGGTGTATTAAATGAACTTGGTGTTTTTGATAACAATGTGACAATATATTCTGATAGTCAATCTGCTATTCACCTATGCAAAAATCCTGTCTTTCATGAACGTACTAAACATATAGATGTTAGATTGCATTTCATTAGAGATATGGTTTCTCAAGAACTGGTAAAACTTGAGAAAATCCTTTCAGAATATAATCCTGCAAACATGGGAACTGAAGTGCTCCCATTAGTAAAATTTAGAAGCTGCCTTGATCTTCTAAACATTGGTACAAACTTGTAAGTTCTTTTTTCTTTAAGTTATTTGTTATCTTATCTAACTTGCAGGATGATTTGGTATCAAGGTGGAGATTGTTGGGTATTTTTTGGTAAGTGATACCCAAATCCCCTAGGCAATGATGAAAATCGAGGCCCGTTTAACTTCATAGGCTATAAGCCTAATATTGAAGAACATATTGGACCCACACCACAATTGATGTAACCCAATTGTGTTGGGTATTTGGAGGAAATCAGCCCATTGGGCTAGATGCTCAATACCCGATTATGGAGATAAATGAAATCACTAAAGATAGAATTGGTTGCAAATAATTATCTCGTGATAATTATCCTATCCCTACTGTTTCTGTTGGACTCAAATTTAAACTTCCCTGTTATCTTGGAGATTTGATTTCCCTCGTGATAATATACAAGAGTTTTAATATATCCAAACACTCAACCAATTTGAAATAAAGAGAGAAGCCAGCTGCCTTCTTCTTCCAAGTGTGTGAGAACTTTTCTTCCTTCTCTGTGAAAACCGAAGTCGACCTTTGTGGTGTGCCTTTGTGTGCCTTTTCTTCTTCGTGAATGAAAAAGTCTCCCAATTGAAGTTACCTTTGTGGTGTTGGGTCGAAGATTTCTGAGCCGATTTAAAAAGGGAGATTTCGTTTCATTTTCTTCCATTACATTTTAGTTCACTGCTTCATATTTTGGTTCCTTGAATTCCATTAGATTTATTTGATTTAATCCTTCATTAACCTTTGTTGTGTGGTTGCAGGTTGGATTAACAACAACACCCTCAACCGCCTCCGTGTCCTGGCCATAGACGCAGCACAGCCTTACGACTACGAAGCCTAGCTCGTTAACCGCTTCGCTCAATGAACCAAGCTCAAAATCGCCATTATTGGATTCGGCAACTTCGGCCAGTTCCTTGCCAAGGCATTTATCCGACAGGGTCACACGATTTTCGCACATTCACGTTCAGATTATTCATCAATAGCGCAATCCCTTGGCGCCGCCTTCTTCTTTGACACCCACGACCTCTGTGAACAATACCCAGATGTTATTCTTCTCTGCACCTCCATTATTTCCACTGAATCAGTGCCCAAATCGCTCCCTATTCAACGCCTTAGGCGTAACACACTATTTGTCGATGTTTTATCCGTAAAAGAATTCCCCAAGAATATATTCTTGCAATATCTTCCCTCCCATTTTGATATTCTTTGTAGTCGCCCCATGTTGCGGGTGGAGACTTTCTTGAATATTTTCAAGAATGAAGGGTGTAGAATGGTGGAGACTTTTGCAGAGCATGATAAATACGCTGCAGGATCTCAGTTTATTACGCACACAATGAGGAGGATTTTGGAGAAGTTGCAATTGCAGAGTACCCCAGTTAACACAAAAGGGTATGAGACTCTGTTGAATTTGGTGGAGAATACGGCCAGTGATAGCTTTGATTTGTACTATGGGTTGTTTATGTACAATAAGAATGCCATGGAGCAGCTGGAGAGGTTGGATTTAACGTTTGAGTCATTGAAGAAAGAGTTGTTTGGGCATTTACATGAAGTTTTGAGGAAGCAATTGTTCAGGAAGTCGGAGGAAAGTCCTAGGCTGGTGCTCTCAAAGTTACCGAAGAAGTTGCCCAAGAATGGAACTTCATTGTTAGCCGCGTCTACATCAGAGACAGAAACGGTGGTGAACAATAACAATTAGGATGTTTCTACTTGTGAAAGCTATGCTTTTCTTCTAATTAGCTATTTCTTGATTTCAATAAATGATAAGTTTTTTTTTATTAATTTGTAATTGTGAGAATAAGAGAAGCAAAGAATAAGAGAAGCAAGGGAGGGCGCCTAGACGCCCAGTTTCTGCTTCACCGAACTGGGGGGGCAGAAACTGGGCGTCTAGGCGCTCGATTCAGCCTATAAATTGCTGTTTTTCCCCTTTATTTGTGGCACCCGATTTTAGAGAAGAAAAGATAGAGAGGGCTTGGATAGAATTTATCAAGTAAGAGGTTGTTCTTCTTGGGTATAAATTCAAAGTCATTTTTCTTTCTTTGGGATTAACTTGAGGCTTGTTCAAGTAATCCAATCCATTGTTCATCATTTATATATTGAAAATCATTTCTTCCCCAATTTCTTATCTTTGAAGTGGTTTAGGATTTTTCACATTTCAAGTTTGTTTGATCTTGGGCATCTTAGGAAGAGTGGTTTCCTAACAATTTGGTATCAGAGCATCTTATTAAATCAGGGTGGTTAAGCTCCGATTTTTGGTGGGTTAGCTTGAACTTTGTTGTGCACACAAGGTGTTTGTGAAAATTCCCAAGTGAACTTTGTTGGTTTATTTCCGGTAAACAAGTAGATAAATCATGTCTACTAGAGGAACGGTGAAGATTGGGAAGTATGAGATAGAGAAATTCAATGGGAAGAATGATTTCTCATATTGCAGAAAGCAAATGAAAAATTTGTTAATTTTTCAAAAGTTGCACATGGCATTGACGGGAAAGGAGAAGAAGCACATAGATATGTCTGACGAGGATTGGGAAGAGCTAGATCTTGAGGCATGAGTGTCTATCATTCTATGTCTCGAAAGAGATGTTGCTTTCTTGGTTGATGGTGAGGAAACGACGGCAGAGGTGTGGACAAAGTTGGAGACGAACTTCACGAAGAACTCTAACTAATCAGATCTATTTGAAGTCCAAATTTTATACTTGCAAGATGGATGAAGGTACACCAATCCGGGAGTACGTCAACAAGTTTGATAGGTGCATATCGGACTTGAAGGACATTGATGTGAAAGTAGATGATGAGGATCAAGCAATTCTACTACTTCTTTCATTGCCAAAGTCTTACGAGAACCTAGTACAAACATTGATACTTGTGGGTGGTAAACTTGCGATGGAGGACACTAGAACGTCACTTCTAGCGGATGATCTTCGAAAGATTGCAACTAGTGGTATGTCTACCATTGGTAACAAGGAGCAAGCTCAAGAATTATTTGTAAGAGGTAGAAGCAATGTGCGACCAAAGGGCAAGGGAGAAAAATCTAGATCGAGTTCTAGACCTCTTGCGGAAAGGCCTTGTTTCAAATGCGACGAGCTTGGGAATTTCAAGGCGAATTGTACTAACAAAAGGGGTTCGAAGAAAAACAATAAGAACAACAACAACGGAAACGTGCAAGTTAAGCAAGAGGTTAGCTATGCCTCGGAAGGAAGGAAAAGCGATGAGTGCTACACCATCTCTTGTGATGAAGAAATCTCCGGTAAGTGGATTCTTGACTCTGGATGCTCTTACCATATGTGTCCAAATAGGAAGTAGTTTACTACCTATAGAAGCACTGATGGTGGAACCGTGTTGATGGGTAATAACCATTCCTGTAAAATGGTGGGGCTCGGTTCAATTAGAATCAAGATGTTTGATGGAGTGGTTAGAACATTGATGGATGTTAGACATGTTCCTGATTTATGGAAGAACCTTATCTCTGTTGGTGCCTTAGGCTCCGGTGGTTGCAAGATTGTAACATGGAATGGAGTAAAGAAGGTTGTTTATGGTTCTTTGATTGTGATGAAGGGTATTCGTGAAGGCAATCTTTATGCTCTTCAGGGTACTACAATTATAGAAGATGTAGCGGTTGAAACAAGTGGAAGTGGTGGAGACCCATGTGAGTGCACTCGGCTATGGCATAGGAGGCTTGGGCATATGTTTGAAAAGGGGCTAGATCTGCTAGTCAAGAGAGGTTTACTAAAGAACTTGAAGAAGCCTTGCATGGATTTTTGCGAGCATTGCGTTTACGGTAAAGTACACCGAGTTCAGTTCCAGCCAAGCAAACATAGAAGCAGAGGTATTCTAGACTATGTGCACACAGATGTATGGGGTCCGGCTTCTGTCACTTCCAAAAGCAGTTCCAGGTATTTTGTCACATTTGTTGATGATTATTCTAGATATTCTTGGATTTATTTTTTAAAGCATAAGAATGAGGTATTTGACACTTTCAAGAAGTGGAAAGCAATGGTTGAAAACAGAATAGGAAAGAAATTGAAGACACTGCGATTTGATAACTGTATTGAGTATACAGATGGTGCTTTCAAGGAGCTCTGTGGTAAGGAAGGCATTGCGAGACACTTGACAGTTAGGAATACACTGCAACAGAATGGGGTCGCAGAAAGACTGAATCGCACTTTTCGAGAAAAATTGATGTGTATGCGATCCTATGCTAGTTTGGGCAGAGTCGGTTGCAAATGCTTGCTACATAATGAACCGATCTCCACATTCAAAGTTAGATGGAGACGTACCTTACAGGGTATTGACAGGAGAACATGCAGATTATGAGAAACTCAGAATATTCGGATGCACAGCCTACTATCAGGTCAACGAGGAAAGCTTGATACGAGGGCCAAAAAGGCTATATTCTTGGGGTATGTGGTAGGTGTAAAAGGCTATCGCCTATGGTGTGTAGAGGATTCTAAGTTCATAATCAGCAGAGATGTTACTTTTGATGAGAACTCCATGATAGCTTTGTTGAAAGTTACAGTGCCCGGTGGTGATGATGTTGAGACTACAAAGTCTCAAGTTGTTGATATAGAACCTAGAGATCAACCTGGTTCTAGGCATGTTCAAGAGGAGCATCATGCAGACACTCAAGATGAGAGTGATGATGGGTTTGAACAAGAGGTGGTTCAGCAAGAGAATGTACAGGCACAGCAACAACAGCAGCTTGCATATAACTTGGCTTCCTCTAGGCCACGGCGTACTTACAAGCAAGTTCTAAAGTTGGGGTCAGACGAGCCTTTGAGGCACTATGGGCAGACAAATTTGGTTGAGTATGCACTCTCGGTGGAGGATGATGAGCCTGCTACTTTCAAGGAAGCTATTTTAAACAACAATAGTGAGAGTTGGTTGGCAGCGATGGAAGAAGAGACGGAATCACTTCACAAGAATCAAACATGGGAGGTTGTCCCATTGCCCATAGGTAAGAAAGCTATTGGTTGCAAGTGGTTGTACAAAAAGAAAGAGGATCCTACCAAGTTCGGTGGTACAAGATTCAAAGCAAGGTTAGTGGCTAAGGGGTTTGCACAGAGAGAGGGAGTTGACTACAATGAGATCTTTTCTTCGGTGGTCAAGCACACTTCCATTCGGGTGCTATTGAGTATTGTTGCTCATCATGATCTTGAGCTGGAACAACTCGATGTCAAAACCGCCTTCTTGCACTGGGACTTGGATGAGGAAATCTATATGCATCAACCTGAGGGCTACAAGGTTGAGGATAAGGAACGTCGGGTATGTCGCTTGAGAAAATCACTATATGGATTGAAGCAATCTCCTCGGCAGTGGTACAAACGATTTGACTCCTTCATGCTAAAGCATAGTTTCTCCAGAAGTGAGTATGACTGTTGTGTTTATATTCGAAAACGTCGGGGAGGTAACTATATCTATCTTCTTTTGTATGTGGATGATATGCTTATCGCTTCGAAAAGCAAGGTGGAGATAGATAGGTTGAAATCTCAACTTTGTAAAGAGTTTGAGATGAAGGATATGGGGGCTGCTAGAAAAATACTGGGTATGGAGATTAGAAGAGAGAGGACGAACCGGCGAATGTTCTTGAGACAGAAAGGCTACATTGAGCGGGTTATTGCTAGGTTTGGATTGCAAGGTACAAAGTCGGTGGTGACTCCATTGGCTCCACATTTCAGGCTCTCTGGTAAACAATCTCCTACTACAGCGAAAGAAAAGGTACACATGGATCGTGTACCTTATGCTAGTGCAGTTGGCAGTTTGATGTATGCCATGGTGTGTACACGCCCAGATATTTCACAGGCGGTTAGTGTGGTCAGTAGATTCATGGCGAATCAGGGGAAGGCACACTGGGAAGCTGTGAAGTGGATCCTGAGGTACTTAAAAGGTACTGTGGATACGGGTTTATATTTTGGTGAAAATGCATGTCATATAAGTGGGTTTGTGGATTCGGATTATGCAGGTGATCTAGATAGACGACGATCTACTATTGGATATGTGTTTTGCATACATGGTGCCCCAGTTAGTTGCGATCGATGTTACAGGCTACAATTGCTCTTTCTACTACAGAGGCCGAGTATATGGCCATGGCAGAGGAAGTGAAGGAAGCATTGTGGTTATGGGGTCTTCTAGATGATTTGGGGATTGAGCAGGATTGTGTGGACTTGTGGTGTGATAGCCACACTGCGATTCACTTAGCTAAGAACCAAGTTCATCATGCTTGAACCAAGCATATCGACGTCAGGTATCATTTTGTGCGTGATGTCATAGAGGAAGGTGATATTTCACTTTTGAAGGTACACACAAATGAGAACCCAGCAGACATGTTAACCAAAGTGGTAACGGTAGCAAGTTTCAGCATTGCTTGGACTTGCTTCACATTAGTCCGTGTTGATATGCCCGAGTGCGCATGGCCCTTCGGGGCGGGGTTGAAATGAGATGAAGAGTATATGAAGGTGGAGGTGAACTACGGAGGCTTGATCCCGAGTTTTGGGTACGTAGGCAACCATGGTTTGAATGGTGCAGCCGAGTTTGACGCTTGCTGCTTCTTCTCGTGTTCGTCCAAAATTTGAGGTCTATCAAATGATGTACGAGGTGGAGAATTGTGGGAATAAGAGAAGCAAGCGAGGGCGCCTAGGCGCCCGATTCAGCCTATAAATTGCTGTTTTTCCCCTTTATTTGTGGCACCCGATTTTAGAGAAGAGAAGATAGAGAGGGCTTGGATAGAATTTATCAAGTAAGAGGTTGTTCTTCTTGGGTATAAATTCAAAGCCATTTTTCTTTCTTTGAGATTAACTTGAGGTTTGTTCAAGTAATCCACTCCATTGTTCATCATTTATATATTGAAAATCATTTCATCCCCAATTTCTTATCTTTGAAGTGGTTTGGGATTTTTCACATTTCAAGTTTGTTTGATCTTGGACATCTTAGGAAGAGTGTTTTCCCAACAGTAATAAATGGTGAATTGTCTAACACTCGTGTATTCATATGTATATAAAGAGCTGGAAAGTTGTGACTTGTCTTACCAAGAACATTCTAAAAATTGAAGAACATGGTTGATGATCTTGTTAGTTAGACAAACTCTATTTAATTCGATGGAGTAGGTACTCAAGAATTCGATTCTGAGCTTAGCATATTTCTGCATAGAATTAAGTTTATTTCAAAGTTTCTAACATATTATAGAATCATAAAAGGGGGCAACAGTACCTTCCCAATTCTTAAATTCAAGACATTCATCGGCCACTGAATGAATTAAATAGATAAGGAAGTAATTCGCAATGGAAGGCAAGGGAGTAACTACAGTTGGAGATTGACGAGTGTGCTTGACTACCTTATAGGACTAATCTTGTCCACAAGGCAAAATAGCTTTATTTTGTTGCTTTTAGTGAAACTTATATTGGAGATATAACCGATTCGGTATAGCAAGAATAATTGCTAGGTTGATGTCCACAGAGAAGTGGTAATGAAGCTAAAGCTCCCGATAGGAGTTTGTTGTCAGGGATCGTGATCAATTACCACTAACTCGGGGTTGGAATGAAATTACTTGCTCTGCTGGATAAACTGCTTGAAAATGAGGAATTACTTGAAAAATAAACAGTACGAAGATTGAAATATTCATTTTTGGTTATGTTCTTTCTATCAAGAGTGTGGGTCCATATAAATGTCTAATAATCCATCGAAGTTTTATGAAATGTGCCGGGCATTTTATGTAAAATATAGGTTTGCACAGCACAACTACAAAAAGAGGCCGTCTCCTTGATGACTTCAAAATGGCTGTATGAACTGCCTTGAAAATGAGGAATTACTTGAAAAATAAACAGAACAAAGATGGAAATATTCATTTTTGGTTTATTTCTTTCTGTCAATGAAGGACAAGAGTGTTGGTTATTACAAACTGTCTAATAATCCATCCAAGTTTTATGAAATGTGCCAGGCATTTTCTGTGAATTATAGGTTTGCGCAGCACAACTAGAAACAGAGGCCGTCTCCTCCTCGACTTCAAAATGGCTGTATGATATGACCAATCATCGTGTTAATTGTGTATTAAATAGATGTGTTTTTCCAACTGGAAGCTTTTTTACAGAACAATACAAAGAAGATACATCACTTGCCCTAAAATAGAAAAAGTTGTGTTTTCTATGACAAGTTGTGAGACATTGAAGGAAGTAGCTGGATAGAGAGGAGAAACTATAAGATTTGGGATCTTTGTGCTCCCCTGTTTGAGGCTCTAAGAGGTTAAAATCTATTGGTTTGAATAGGGTGAAAAAAACATACAACCTGGGCAAGAATGGCTTTCTACTGAATAAATTGATTCATGCTCCTTTAGGTTTTCAAAATTTTATTGGTGGTGTCAGCAAAAATAATGTTTCACGGATAGCATTCAATCATCTGGAGCAATCCTTGAGGCAAATATGTGATTTACTGGAGTGATGAAATTACCATGACATGCAATTCGGATGTTACATTTCTAGAACTATCTATCTGGAAAATGTGGAATATCATTCTCATAGAGGAAAAAAACTGCCATTTACACACAAATAGGAAAGGTTATCCAATTATGATAATCCATACGCATTATAATTTGCAGTTGGTAACAGCTTGAAGGACGGGTTTAATTTCTTCTTTATCTTTTTGGTGTTATAGGAATATGTTGTCTACCCTATCGATGGAATTATGAGTGATGAAGACATCTCCTGGGTACAGACATTTGTTTAATGCTGATCAATAAAAGCGTTTCTTCCTTCCACATTTTTTAACCTTTATTTTTTCTTTTCTAATTCTTCTATTTTCCTCTAGTCTGGTATTCTGCACGATGGGGATTTCCATATTGTATAAGCTGTTTGTGTGGTCCAACTTCATCAGTCTCTTCGAAGCACTCTTTAACTGATTTCATTTATATTATTCAAGAGTGTATACTTTAATCTTGCTCTGTATTTATTTCTTCTCACAAGAAACTTAATTTTAGTGCGTCTCCATAATCTACTCGCCTTCTCACTGCTTTCCAAAATTATGTATAAAATTTTAAAGATGGGAAAACCTTCTTAGTTTCCTTTTGCCCTTTGGCAATATATGAGAATTATGCTGCAGATCTGGGTTTATACGAGAAATTTAATAAGCGAGCAAACTAGTTCTTTAATCAGGTATCTAGGAAATATGTATTTGTATTATAAGGATGGTTGTGACATACTTGTGCGCTTAAACTTTTACCTATGATTTAGTTGACCGAGTTCTGTAATATGATTCTAAGAACACTGGTGAACAGGCTCTTATGCTGAAATAGCATCTATTCAGAACGTGAGATAATTTGCAAATAATATATCTTTTCTGAACGAAAAGCTTCTCTGCTAGTCCAGTCTCCTTTATTATAGATCCATGAATGAAACATGTTTAACCTATAATCTCCCTTTCATCTTGCTGAAGCACTTGAATAACTATAAGAATGTAGATTTGCACGAGGTCTCTCAATGGATAATCTATGTTCGTAACTTCTAGTTCATCTTGTGGGCATTGAATCTACATAATGTAAGAGTCCGGCTTTAAGTAGCTCAAACATGGGATCATGGATTGAAGGTGGAGATGAGGTGCTCAATATATATGTCTTTTTCTTCTTATTAATCAGGCACATCTTGGTTGATTGGGATCATTCCAGAGTAGGACGTGACATGGTGATTAAGGCCAAAATACTAGATCAACGTTTAAGGCTAGTCGTGGATATTAAGGGCAAAATACAGCTCCCTTAATTGATTCAAAAGACCCTGGCTTTCAGTAGATAAATACTATACAATATAGTAGAGAGTA